AAATTCTCACGACGTTTCGACCATAACTCAAACGGTCATCATCAGGTGTGTCGGTTTGCATAAATTTATTTTGAAACGGCACATTTATTTATTTATAAAAAAAACGTTGGCGTCACGCGCAGCGATTGGCAGTTTGCCCAGGACTAGTCCATCTATTTTTTGAAAAGAGGAGGGGGGAGACGAAATGTTTTATAATGTATGCTGTCTGAAAGCCACTGTAAGCGTGAACAATCAATCAAGAACTGAAATGATTTATCAAATCTTTCCAATGATTGCTAAGATAGAATCCATCTTCTCGGTTGAAATTGTCTCTGTGCTTGTATATGTGGATAGCCTCATGAACGAATCTCTCATGGAAGCCAGATGGCTTACAAAGAACCTCTGTCTTGGAAAAGTCAATGGCATGTGAGCCTACTGAATTAGAACAATGATCTGCTACGGCCGAGGTGTTGGTCCTACCGTGTTTAAGGTCTGCTTTATGTTCACGAATGCGGTCCGAGACATGGCGTTTGGTTTCTCCAATGTAACTACTACCACAGAGGCAACTTAGTTTGTAGACACCAGGGTATTGTATGTCCGGAATCACATCTTTTACAGACGGAACCAGATCACGGATTTTATGTAATGTGTTGAAACGGACCTGGATCTTGTGTTTATTCAAGATTTTGGAGATCTTTTTTGTGATCCCAGCAATGTAGGGTAAAGTGATGGTTTTGAAAGGCTCCTAAAGAGGGTTCTTCTTCATGGTTTGAGTGATAGCTTTTCGGATTGTATAGTCGGAGTAACCATTAGCCCTAAGAGCTTGGTGTACGTGCTTGAGTTCACTGCTTATGTGTTCCTGGTCGGATATGCATTGGGCTCTATGATACAGAGTCTTGATGAGAGAATTCTTCTGTGATGGATGGTGGTGGGAATCCGGTTTCAGATAAGCATCCGTATGGGTAGCTTTCCTGTAGACAGAGTGGCTCATTGAACCATCAGGTCTCCTTTTAATTAGGACATCCAAAAAAGGTATCTTGCCATCTATTTCGACTTCCATGGTAAATCTGATGGCTGGGTGTATGGAATTGATGTGGTCGAAGAATTGGTCTACAGCAGGCCGGCCATGTGGCCAGATGACAAAAGTGTCATCCACGTACCTCTTCCATAAGGTTGGGCGCAGAGTGACAGTCTGGATGGCGTCAGTCTCAAATTTCTCCATGAAAATGTTAGCTATAACTGGAGAAAGGGGGGAGCCCATTGGGGTGCCCTCAGTTTGTTTGTAGAAAGTTCCATTCCAAGTGAAGTATGTATTGGTTAAACAGTGTCTCACCAGGGGGGGTACCTCAGTGTTTAGTCCTTGATGAACCAAGTATTCAATGATTGCAATGGTGTCAGGTACAGGAACCTTGGTGAATAAGGAAACTACATCAAAACTGACAAGCAGGTCGTCTGGGGACAGGGAAATACCCTTGATTGTTGATACCAGGTGAGTAGAATTTTGTACCGCAGAGGTGGTCTTTCCAGTGAAAGGACGCAGGATTTCAGACAAAAAACGAGCTAGTTTGTAGGTGGGGGAGCTGATAGTAGAGACTATGGGACGAAGAGGTGTATCAACTTTATGTATTTTTGGTAAGCCGTATAATCTTGGTGGCCTGGCAGCAGAAGGTTTCAACAAAAACTGTTTAGATTGATCAATTAATGCGGTTGAATCAGAAATTATTTTGTTGGTTTGTGTGACGAGGCTGTTGGTGGGATCTCTTTTTATTTTTGTATAACTACCATCGTCGAGTAATTCTTTAATTTTGTTGTTGTATTCTATTTTATCCATGATGACAGTAGCATTGCCTTTGTCAGCTGAGAGAACTACAATATCATTCCTCTTTTTTAATTTATATAATTCAAAACGCTCATCTTTGCTGAGGTTGCTAGCTGGCATCTTAGCGTTTTTGAGGGTTGCAGCGATTTCAAACCATCACTTTACCCTACATTGCTGGGATCACAAAAAAGATCTCCAAAATCTTGAATAAACACAAGATCCAGGTCCGTTTCAACACATTACATAAAATCCGTGATCTGGTTCCGTCTGTAAAAGATGTGATTCCGGACATACAATACCCTGGTGTCTACAAACTAAGTTGCCTCTGTGGTAGTAGTTACATTGGAGAAACCAAACGCCATGTCTCGGACCGCATTCGTGAACATAAAGCAGACCTTAAACACGGTAGGACCAACACCTCGGCCGTAGCAGATCATTGTTCTAATTCAGTAGGCTCACATGCCATTGACTTTTCCAAGACGGAGGTTCTTTGTAAGCCATCTGGCTTCCATGAGAGATTCGTTCATGAGGCTATCCACATATACAAGCACAGAGACAATTTCAACCGAGAAGATGGATTCTATCTTAGCAATCATTGGAAAGATTTGATAAATCATTTCAGTTCTTGATTGATTGTTCACGCTTACAGTGGCTTTCAGACAGCATACATTATAAAAAATTTCGTCTCCCCCCTCCTCTTTTCAAAAAATAGATGGACTAGTCCTGGGCAAACTGCCAATCGCTGCGCGTGACGCCAACGTTTTTTTTATAAATAAATAAATGTGCCGTTTAAAAATAAATTTATGCAAACCGACACACCTGATGATGACCGTTTGAGTTATGGTCGAAACGTCGTGAGAATTTTTTATTGTTTTATATATATTTTGTTGTTTCTCTTCAACGTGACTTTACCGAAAAAACTAAGAATATAAAGTCACGTAGTTAGAAATTAATTCAATTATCGAAAGAATTAAATTACCGAAAGAACCAAAAAGTATCGTTTTTTTTTAATCACGGTTTTCCAAGTCATTAATTCAAAGGCCCAAAACGTCCTGTGGCCAGCAAACAAAAAGCACTATTGGAGGAGTCATACGTCACGTGCCTTCAGATGCACTTTCTGCGGCCGTCTGGAATGCTCTTCCTTCCGATATTAGACATCTGCTGGGAGCTATGCACTTTTAAATCATCTACATTGACGCACTTATTTCTTTAGAATTGCCTTTATGTTTAGTGTGTTGTCCTTCCCCCTCCGTACCTCCGATTAGCACGGTTGGCTACGTACGGTGCGAAAGACGTTCAACATACTTACAGATACGTACACAACAGAAAAGAGGTGACATGGTTTTGTAATACGTGGGTTTCAATGCTCACCCCCTCCCCTGGGGGACTGCGACCCATGGGTTGAGAACCACCGCTCTATGCCGAAGTGTCTCTGGGACGTGAGCTCGTACGCTGTGCCATGCACTCTGTGCTGTACGTGCCAGGGCAAGGGAAGTTTTTGTTTAATCTGCACGAGGCAGCGCGAGCGCCACGTCGCGGTCGACGCACAACGTGAACACAAAACACGCTCATAACACAATACGAACACAAATGCCTTCCGAATACAACACAAAACTTGCTCCTCATATACAGCACGAACACAAATGCCTAACACAACACATTTGAATGTACACCACGATCACAAATGCCTTACTAAAAGCGTGTTGACTAGAGATGTGGACTCTCTGTGTACTGTGGCCTCAAAAGTCACCTGATGGGCGTGGGGACCCAGTTGCCTTGATTGGGGGGGGGGGGTGGTTGCCGGGGTACAAAGAGGGTTTGAATGGTCATGTTGCTTTCTCTCGGGAGAGAGTCATTCCTTCCTGAGGGATGATGGCCGCAGCAGTGTACAAACGGATTAGCAGCCACACTCGACCTGCAACGCTGAGCGCCACCGGTTCGACCCCATGCACCTGGTGTGGTGCGGCAGTTGAAACAACGGGAGCCGAGTTTCTCTAATCACACCCCACCCAACCGCCCCCTGCCACCGCCCTCGCCAACCGCCTGTGTCCACCCAGCAATGTGAATGGGTACAACCGCAGTGAGTCGATTGGCAGGTCGCATGCGGTGGGGAAAAGTGTGGGCACTTTCGCCGCTTCAAAAGACATCTGGCCAATGCAAAAGAGTAGGCCTCTTTCGAGCGCCCTCTCTCACGGAGGGTGCTTCCGCCAGCAGGACTGTGAGCAAGCAAATCCTGGGCTGCGCCTTTAGCTATTGTCTTAAAGGGTTACGCTGAGCTATAAATGGATCGCTTCGTATATATAATTTTTTGTGTGCGTGTCTGCGAGACGGGAAAAAAGCGAAATGCAATTACGCGGGATGAATTGCCCCTGCGTGTGCGCGAGCGTGCGTGTGCGCGTGGGTGTGTGCGTGTGTGTGACCCCTGTGCACTCACAAAGATACAGAGACGGTCTCAGGTCGCCAAATCCCAAGGGTGGAGTACAGCGGGGAGCTATCCACGGGGAGGAGCGGTGGGGGGGGGGGGGGCAGGCCAGCGAGAGAGTGGGGCAGTGAGCGTGGAGACAAAGGTAGAGGGGGAAGCCAGAAATCCTACCGACCCCACATGACCTACCGCAGAGGAAACCACGTGGCATCGCACAGCCACCGAGGAGCAGAGTCTAAGGTTAGGATCCGGGGTCTGGGTTAGAGTCAGGGTAAGGAAAATGATTTAGACTCAGCGTTAGAATTAGGACTATGGGTTAGAATCAGCATTAGGGTGAGGGCTATGGTTCTGACAAGGGTTACAGTCAGTTGGCTTCAGTATGAGGAATACGGACACCGCGCCTCCTGTGTAGGGTGTGGCGATACGTAGCCTCATGCAGGTGTCACCCAGGCTCGCAGGGGCCTGGGCTACATTTCGGACACGGGCGCATCCCTGCGTGGAGTGCGCACGTTCTCTAAACCCGGTGCTGTGTGGGTATCCTCCGGTTTCTCCGGTTTCCTCCCATAGAAACATAACAATAATATTCTTAGCTCTTTCGGTAAAGTCACGTTGAAGGGAAACAATAAAATAATAATAAAATATATGTAAAACAATAAAAAAATTCTCACGACGTTTCGACCATAACACAAACGGTCGTCATCAGGTGTGTCGGTTTGCAAAATTGCGGTTGGGCAACCAGGGGGGCAGAGGGGCGGAGGGGCGGGCGGGGGGGTTACTCACGGGCGGGAGAGCGCCGTCTCGTGCCTCTCGAAGGCGTGGCCCAGATCGTGCTTGTTGCCCATGTAGCACTGTGTGCACAGGTCGAAGTCGTAGCACACGCTGCAGCGCCAGCGCATGCCCACGATGCCGTGCTTCTTGCACGAGTCACAGATGATGTTGGGGTGGCGCACGCCTGCTCACGCGGGCAGCGGAAGGGGGCGCGTGCAGGGAGACGAGCACGGAGACGCGTTGAGTTCCGCGCGTGACGGGGCACGAGGATGAGCGCGTTTGCGAGTCACCCCCCTGCGGTGGAAGTAATCAGCTTGGGTTGCCGCGTGCGAGCGAGGATGTGACCGAGCACGTGAGCAGAGGCACACAGGCATTCGTGGAAACATGCAAGCGGACATGCGGAGACACACGGTGACACAGGCAAACGGTGATAAGGCAGACACACACCCTGCACTCAGATGATGGTAAGAAAAATGCAAACACCCCGCTGCCATCATTGTCCATGATCTATGCAACTGCTGGCTGAAGGCCATTCAGCTCCTGCACACGACCGGATCGTACGCCCTCCGTCTCCGCGGCGGGTGTGCATCTTGAGTGCATTCCCTCCTTTAGCCGCTACTCCGGCATTCATCTCTACCACTGGTCATCATCCCTCCTGGTGACGTGTCCTGCCCAAGCCCCATGTAATTACAGTAGAACCCCTGTTCACGACTAATCGCCTAACGACGGACCTCCAGAGAGCCCAATGTGTAGGGCATAGTGTAGTGGAAAATAGTCTATAGTAGTGTAGTGGATAGTAGTGTAGTGTGTCGCCTATAGCGGTGTAGTGTACAGTAGTCTATAGTGTTGCGTATAATCTTGATTTGAAGCTTTCGTGACTGCAGGAATCCATACTCTTTGGTTCTTTCGGTCAAGTCACGTAGGTAGAAATAAAATAAAATAAATCACGACATTTCGATCGCAACACAAGCAATCTTCATCAGGTGGAACAACCACAGCAGGAAAATGCTGAAGTAGGTGAGAGAGCTGCCGTGGCAAGAGATTATATAGGTAAGAAAGGGGGGAGGTAAGGGGGGAGAGAGAGAGGGGGGGGGGGGCAGGGGGGCTGCGTGAGTGCTCGTGGGAGAGGAAGTGAGGCTGGGGAGGGAAGTGGGCGGGGCTTAGAAGTGGGAAGCTGAGTGTAGGACACGGGGGGAAAGTAAATAGGAAAAAGGTGCTAGTAAACGGCAGGTAGGATGGAAACAACCACAACCAGTTAAGGCTTTACCTGGTTAATTACATCCTTCCAATGATTGCTCAATTTGTATCCATCTTCTCGGTTGAAGTTATGTCTATGTTTATATATCTGGATGGCTTCATGACAAACCTTTGAAAGTTTCCCGAAGGTTTGCAGAGTACCGTGGTCTCTGAAAAAACAATATCATGCTAGCCCATAGCGTTTTAACAATGGTCAGCTACGGCAAAGGTATTGGTTCTGCCGTGTTTCAGATCTGCCTTGTGTTTGAGAACACGGTCCGAGACATGTCATTTCATTTCCCCAATGTAACTGCTACCGCAGGTACAACTCAGTTTGTAGACTCCAGGGTATTGCATGTCAGGAATGACCTCCTTCACAGATGGGATTAGATCACGGATTTTGGGTGCTGTTACTCTGATTGATAACAGTCTTGTTAACATCCAGCTTTTTAATGTGTGGATCTGGGTTCCTCCTTATCACCAGTGATAGTGAATGTTTTCATGGAGAAATTTGAAACAGATGCCATCCAGACATCCACCCTACCTACGTCCTTTCTTGTGGAAGAGATACGTAGATGACACTTTCGTCATTTGGCCACATGGCCTGCCAGCATTGCACCAATTTCTCAACCACATCAATTCCATTACACCCATTCATCAAATTCACCATGGAAGTGGAGAAGGATGGTAAGCTACCATTCCTGAATGTTTTGTTTGAGAAGAGACCTGACGGCTCGTTGCGACACTGTCTACAGGAAAGCCACCCACACAGATTCCTATCTAAAACCTGATTCCCACCACCATCCGGCCCAGAAGAATTCCCTCATCAAAACACTACACCATAGGGCCCATTGCATTTCCGACCAACACCACCTAGACAGTGAACTGGAACACGTGCTCCAGACCCTTAAGATGAATGGGTACTCAGACCGCATTATTTGCAAAGCTGTTTCTCCAACCATGGAGAAACAATCTCCTGAGATTCCATTCAAAACCATCACTTCACCATACATAGCGAGTATTACCAAAAATATTTCCAAAATCTTAAACACAAGATCCAGGTCCGATTCAATACAGTACACAAAATCCGTGATCTAATCCCATCTGTGAAGGAGGTCATTCCTGACATGCAATACCCTGGAGTCTACAAACTGAGTTGTACCTGCGGTAGCAGCTACATTGGGGAAATTAAATGATATGTGTCGGACCGTGTTCGCGAACACAAGGCAGATCTGAAACACGGCAGGACCAATACCTCTGCCATAGCTGGCCATTGTTATAATGCTGTGGGCTCGCATGATATTGTTTTTCCTGAGACCAAGGTACTCTGCAAACCTTCGGGCAACTTTCAAAGGTTTGTTCATGAAGCCATCCAGATAGAAAACATAGACATAACTTCAACCGAGAAGATGAATAAAAATTGAGCATTCATTGGAAGGATGTAATTAACCAGGTAAAGCCTTAACTGGTTGTGGTTGATTCCATCCTACCTGCCGTTTACTAGTACATTTTTCCTATTTACTTTCCCCCCGTGTCCCACACTCAGCTTCCCACTTCTAGCCCGCCAACTTCCCCCCTCACGCCTCACTTCTTCTCCCTGTAGCGCTCACGCAGCCACCCCCCCCCTTCCCCTGCCCCACATCCCCCCCCCCCCCTCTCTCTCCCCCCTTAGCTCCCCCTTTCTTACCTATGTAGGGGTAATCGTCACTCACCACTCTGTGGGCTGGTAGCGTCCCCTTATCGTCAATAGGGGGCGGAAGCGCTATCACGCCAGGGCTAATGTCCATGGCCCAAAAAGGGGCCAACGACAAACCCTGGCAAACGGATCCTGGGAAACATTCCCCGGGGCCCCGGGAGGGGGAAACCGGGGGATGATGTCACCTCCCAGAAAGTTCTAGAAGGGAGGCGTGGCTCAGGTGGAGCAAGCCACGAACCAGTATATAAGCCGGACCTCTCAGAGGTCTGGCTCAGTCATCTGCAAGCTGAAGAACAAAGACCTGGCCTGAAGATAGGTAGGACCCTGGACCCCAAGCTCCTTTGTCCTTCTAAAGGCCGGAGCTCAGTGAGGCCAGTGGTCAGGACCCCGGGACCAGGTACGGTCGGGTCAGATAACCTCCCCTAGGGCCCCAGCCGGAGGACGAAGGGGAATGGGGTACCCAGTGATAGGGCCCGTGTAGTCCGGAGGCCATACCTCCCCAGGGATCGAGTAAAGGGACCGATATACCCTTTGTGTTAGGCACTTGTAAGAAAGACAATAAATATCGTGTTGCCTCATTAGACGTTTATTCGTTAATTTATACCCACTATACCTATATAACCTCTTGCCATTTTCCTGCTGTGGTTGTTCCACCTGATGAAGATTGCTTGTATTGCGATCGAAACGTCGTGATTTGTTTTATTTTATTTCTACCTACGTGACTTTACCGAAAGAACCAAAGAGTCTGTAGTGTATAGTAGTGTAGTGTATAGTGTAGTACAGTAATGTAGTGTATAGTAGTGTAGTGTATAGTGTAGTGTATAGTGTAGTGGCTCCGCCCCTGCTGACCAGCCCCTACTGGACATCTGTGAAAAAGAGCTTTGTAGCTCATAAGATTCCTCCTGCAGCCTAAATAAATATTTAAATATTTCTATTCAATGATTATGATAGCAACGACGACGCTTATGATGGGCTGAGTAAACCCTCGACCCCGAATGATGGGAGGTCGACAGCTTTGACCACAGCGCCACTCTGTGGTCACGAGAGGCAAAGAAAACACGACTGAGGAATGACAAAAACATACAAGACAACAACTTGTAACAAGCTCAGCAGTTTTCGTTCACTCTCAAAGAGTGATTCAGAGGCACGGGAAAGGACAGACAGGCCAGAGGGTAACCAGAACTGCCACCACCAACAATCTTCCCAAGCTCCGCAGCCCAATCATTGAGACGTTTGTCAAACTCCGTTGACGAGCGTTTAGACATAATACACAATGTGACGCAGGCCACCGCGTGGACGAAACGACGGAGAGAATATCGGAGAGACTATTCAACTGCTACCTAACAAAGACCACGCCCCCCCCGAAAAGCCTTAACAGACTGTAGGGGCAAGTGCTGTTAGCAAGCACCTATGAAGGTCGGCGCGCCACACGAGGGGGTTGGTGGCCAGCACCACGCCCGGCCGCCTTTGTCTCCCCAGTGGCGGTTTACTCCACATAGCACTGGGTACTCATTTGAGGCTGAGTCGACCTAGGGAAGGCCCAGGACCGCTTCAGATCATCATAAACTGCTACCTAACACACGCACAACTGAAAATAATATTCTACTGCAGCCAAATGGACAAACGCAACAACACATTACTACTGTGCACGTACGGCTGCACACGCGTGCATGTGAGTGACGTGGGGAGCGGTAGTGTAGCGGTTAGCGCGCTGCGCTAAAAACCCGGCGATCCGAGTTCGATTCCCGCTCACGGCCAACACCAGTGGTCCTGGGCCTCTCCCCTATGTCGACTCAGCCTCAAATTATTACCCGGTGTGGTGTAAAAATCGCCACTGAGGAGATTAAGGCAGACCGGGCGTGGTGCTGACCACCCACCTCCTCTTGAGCCGTGCCGGCCTTCATAGGTGCTTGCTAACAGCACTTGCCCCTACAAGTCTGGTAAGGCTATACGGGGGATCTTTGTTTGAAGTGACGTCACCGCAGCGTTGCCACCCTGGTTTATACTCTGTGACCCTCGACACTCCAAGTCACTTATTGTGTCATTCGCGGAGCTCAGGGATTCACGCAGGACAGCACAGGGCATACGGAGCCCGCGTGACGTGGCTGCGAGAGACGAGGCTGTGCGCTGGTGATCTTTCGGCACACGATGTCTGATGTTTCGCTCCAGGAGCTTACTCAAGAAACTGAACTCCGGAACAACATTCAGCAAGCGAGCTGCTGCATTCTGATGCAGCTGCATAGAATGACTGAGAGAACGAGGCCGTCTGAGGCACAGCGTGCTGCAGTCGTCCAGTCTGGATGAATTTATGGATTGATGAATCTCGCAAGGTCCCTGCGGACTGGCCTTGGCTCAGGAAATGAATTCAGTTTCCTGCGCGAGCTCCGAGGGAGCGGAACGACGCGGGTCGTGCCGCGCGTCCTTCGGCACTATTTCCGACATTTTGCAAAACGCGGTGGGAGATTCCTCTTCAGGAACTGATCCGATATTTGACGAGATCAGAAACTGTTCCAGAAGCAGCTCCCAGGGCGTGTAGGTATGTATAATGTTTAACTTCTTTCGCCAGCATACGTAGCTGACCGTGGTCACCGGAGGTGCGGGGGAAGGACGTGGAATGAAACGTCGGACACTTGTGCCGAAGCACACGTGGTACAACACGAAAAAGCCACGCAGTAGCACAACGCATTATTCTACTGCCACCTAACAGTCAACGCAATCAACCGACGTGCAGAGCGCAGGAATGGACATCGGAGAAACACGCCAAACATGCGGTGCTGGTTGCTGGCATTGTATATCACGGCCGCAAATTGAACCCCGACAGCTGGGATTGTGGCACGGAAATTAACACACACACACACCCACATATTGTTCATGCCCATCCATACACTCGGCGTGTAGAGGTTCGCTCCCTGCACGTCAATGCGTTTCAAACCGGTGCTCATGAAACTGGAACCGAAAGTCGGAGAGTTAATTTCTACACGTACAGCCCGATTGTCAATCCACTGCTACATGGAGGAGGGGGGGGTCTCCCCATGTGTGGATCATGGGGGTTATTTGATCATACATCACCGCGCTCGTCACTGCAGGTGGAAGGGGGGCAGCATAGGAGAGGGCGTAAAGACGTACAAAACAGTGGATGTTGCTGCACTGCCCTCTGCTGCCCACGACATGGCCCGGCAAGCCACGTATGAACCCACGTACAGCAACTATCCACACTCGGTGCGGCTCATCTCCCGAGAAGTGTTTATTACATGTGGGAGGAAACCGGAGTACCCAGGGAAAACCTATGCGTGTAAGGAGAGTAACACTCTATCCCCATATAGATGGAATGAAGATGGAAATGAATCCTCTTACTGTACTGCCATCATACCCTGGCATGACAGACGTCGACTCCACGAATGTGTACGATCTACCAACCCAGGGCACATGAAGCATCGTCATCAGCGCCTGTTTTGCTTCAATGCGAAGCATCACGTGCTTCGCGGTTAACCACATTTCTGGTTCAGGTCGTGTGGTTTGGGAATCAAAAGAGTGTTGCGAGTATTAAACAACTTGTGTTAAATGGTTTCTGGCCCATGAGGGTGAAGGTTGAATGTAAAAACAATAGTAATAAAAATACACACATCAAACACACACACTACACACTTATACAAACACAAAGACCCCTCTTGTAGTCTTAACAGACTATTGGGGCAAGTGCTGTTAGCGAGTAGCACCGATGAAGGCCGGCACGGCACACGAGGGGGTGGAAGGCCAGCACAACGCCAGGTGTCCTTTGTCTCCCCCAGTGGCGATGTTTACACACCACTACACTACCGCTCCCCATACACACTCACCTACACATTCACAGAGACATGTTACACAAACGCACAATCGTGAGTCATGTAAAAACTAAAGTTTATCACGGTAGGTTCTCTTAACCCCTAAACCTAAACACACACACGCGCGCAGGTGTCTTACACACGCACACCGACGCACACAACATCACCACGACGCTTGTGCCAGGCTATGTGCACGTTAAGGTCAAGTGAAGTGTCAAATGCCCACTGGCAGGGGAGGTCATGGGGGCAGACCGAGGGGCCATGGGTCGACTGATGGGATAATTGGCTGATGCACCACCTGTGCCACCTACTGTGCCAACTTGCTGTGTTTTGGTGACCCGGCGCTCCGCTCATTGCTGTGAGCGTCGCTCCTCTGCCCTCCGTTGTTGTTGGAGGGCGAATGCCTCCAACTGCCCAGTAGCATCTTTCACGAGCCTCCTCCACGGAGGCCGATCTTGACACCGCTGGTACCAATCATCGGCAAGTCCACTCAGCTCCACATCCTCTTGTACAACATCACTCCATCTCTTCTCTAGCCCGTGCCACACTCGTTTAATCCCCTCTATCCGGCCAAACAAAAGCTCTTTAGGCATGCAGTGGCTGGGCATGGGGGCTACATGACCAAGCCAATGCAGCCTTGCCTGCCAGAGGAGCTCACCGATCTTTCAAGGATTTGTGAGCTCCTCACACAATCCAGCCCGGTTAAACCCAGGATGAATCGTAGGCAGGCAAGCCTAAATGTTTCTAACCAGCGAAGATAATCCATTAGGGGGGTCCACGTTTCGCAAGCGTAGAGAAGGGAGGGCATGACCGTGGCCGAGAAAACCCGAAGCTTGGTGTGGAGCGACAGATCAGGTAGCTTCCACACAGCTTTATGCAGCCAATGAAAAGAAAATGCCGCTCGACTGATTCTGAGCAAGACCTCTGCTGTCAAACCGGAGCCGATCATGAGCACACTGCCCAGGTATGGAAAATCTCCACTCTCTCCACAAATGCCCCATCACAAATTGGGAGTTGTGGGGATGGAGTGTCTGATGGTACAAAGTACCCAGGCAGGTGCTTAGTATTGGTGGGGCTAATGGTAAGGCCCACCTCTTAGTGGCACGCTCCAGGCTCAGCAGCAGTGCCACCAATTCCTCCTCTGAGTGAGCAGCAATCACTGGATCGTGGTTAATAGGGAGCCATCCCTTGACCGCACCCGGGTATCAATTAGCCTCCCATTGTATCTGTACCAGATGGAAATTCCTCTGGTACAACCATTGAAGCCTTCACGAACTACGTGATCGAAATAAATGTTAAATAATGTCGGAGCCATAGGACATCCCTGTCGCACCCCAAGGTGCTCGCTGTGTGTCTTTATGTGTGTATCTCTCTGCATGTGTGTCTGCCTATGCTGTTCCTGTGTATGTGTTTAATCATTAATTCTTACCTGATGATGGTTGCTTGTGTTGCAACCGAAACGTCGTACTTTTATTATTTTATTTTATTTTCTACGTGACTTTACCGAAAGAACCAAGGAGTAATTCCTGCAGTCACGAAAGCTTCGGATCTAGTTTGAAGGTCCTTAATGATCGTGAGCAGAATCAGGGACTCTGAAAGCATGAAGAACAACCCAGAGCCCAGGCCTACTGATGGTATCACAGGCCTTCACCAGGTCAAAGCAGAGATGTAGGTCTTGTTGGAATTCCCTACACCTCTGCTGCAGCAGCCGGACAGAAAATATAGCATCTGTGCAGGACCGCCCGCTCCTGGGGCTCTGCAAGCCTCCCCTCAGCGTGCCTGGCAAGGCGATGTTGAATACCTTGCCAGGACCTTTCCCGGCACACTGAGGAGGGAGATGCGCGGTCCCCCTTCTTAAAAGGCAGACCACTTGGGCACCACGCGCACACACAACGCATGCACACACACACACGTACGCACACACGTACGCACACGCACCGATCTGCGCGTTGTCATAGAGCCGCAGGTCGTACGCGCCCTGGTAGCCGGCGCGGTAGTTGGTGCGCACGCCGCCGTCCCACTGCACGACGGCGGTCCGGTCGGGCGTGCAGGCGCTGCCCTGGCGACCGACCTCCACCACGGTGCCCGCGTGGCCCTCACCCTCGTCCTGCGCGGCCCACTTCCAGTCGGGCCCGCGCACCACGCGCATGCCCACCTCCATGGCCGCCGCCACCGCCACCGCTTCGGCCGGCGAGGGGGGGGGGGGTGCCGAGACGGTGCACGTCGTGCGTGGAGGGCACAGGTGGGCAGGGGGATGCTCGCGTCCTAAGGCACGGGTAAAGACGCAGCACAAAGGGGAGGGGGGAGGCGTGGGGGTGGTAGGTGATCGGTTGTTGGGATGGTCAAACGTTATGAAGGTTAGGTAGGTCAACTGTTAAGAGTGTGCAGTTTGGGTCATTTTATGCAATGGCTTCTCTCGTGAACAGGGTGTGTGGGAAAGTTCGTAATTCTATGGGTCTCTGTACAAGTGTCTGGGTGAGTCTATATGGGTCTTCATAAGAAGTCTCTGTGCAAGTCCATGGGCCTCCATGTGAGTCTCTACGGGTCTCTGTGTGAGTGTATGCGTCTGACTTGGATTCACAGAGAGTCTTAATGTGCCAGCATCTCAAGATGCTGTACAGAAAGTGAGTACACGGGATTTATTTTATAGAGGCAGTCAGTCACAGGCAGAAGAGAAGGGGAAGGAAGACCTTAATCGTGGACTTTAACCTTAGCAGGGAGTCGACTGCACGGACTACTGGGGGAAGGAAGTTTCAGACTATGGGGGCAGCAGAGGAGCATGAGCAGCCTCCCACTGAGAAAACATTACCTTGAAGCTAATGGAACAAATTAGAAATTAACTCGACAGATGTAACGATATTATACAATAACACGATTTGTATAACGCAAAATACCTCTAAAAGCTGTTTAATTAGAATTGTCAAGAAAAGTGTCAGTTTAACTACCACGTCCCCTACGAGTGTAAAAAAAAAAATTGTCTGTGAATTATAATTAAAGTTTGTTAACAAGAGTGGGTGGTGTTTGGGCAGGACGCATCACGGCTATAGACAGGATGATGGCCTGTGGTCTTAATAGAGCGGAGAGTAATGAATGGAATGCGTTTTGCGATTGCGAGAGATGGGGGGGGCTTGGGTAATCCATCATCCAGCAGTGGAGTGATCATGGCTGATGAGGATTACATTTCATTCTCTTCACCTATTATGAATATTAAAAACAACATAATTGAACAGAGTGCTTGAAATACTGTGGTATCTCTCTCTCTGCTTATGTGTCTATGTGTCTCCATGTCTGTGTTTTGTCTCTCTCTCAAATTTAGCAATCTTTGGAAGAACGTAATCAACCAGGTGGGGTGTTGACTTATGTTAGCCGACTCTCTGTGTCGTATTGCATTACATTTCTAAGTTTACTAGGTTTGTTTTATCTTTCATTTGTACCTGATGATGATTGCTTGTGTTGCAATCGAAACGTCGTATGCTATTATTTATTTTATTTCTACGTGACTTTACCGAAAGAACCATATATTATCAGAGCATGTTTTTTTGTTTGCATTCTGACCACAAGCATTGTGGTTAGTGCAGACGTGATTCCTTGTAAAAGGTTTCAGTTTGGTGTTTTAACAACTTAACATCTGTTCTGTTGCCAGACAAAAAGGGGAAAAACCTAGTATCCTATTTGTTTGTGTTTCTACCTTGTGATGGGCCTTTATAGGATGAACGTTGAGAATTATAAGGGCACGGGGTGACCAATAAGGTCTGACTTGGTCTGTAGTAAGGTGGGCACTAATAAAGGGTTGACAGGTATGAAACGCGATTAATAATTAGTACAATGTAATCAATACCACGGTTATTCATTAGTAAAATTTAGTTTAAAACACGAAGAGGACCACGATGGGCTGCACCTGCACTCGGTTCTTTAAATGAAATCGTGAATTGTCACGCGAGGCGACGAGGCAGTGTAAAAAAGTTCAACTTCGTTTGGCTTTGTAGATTCAAAGATATTAAGCCTCAAATATTCCAAAGAATATAAACAAGACAACACGGCAAGTACAATGAAAGTGTGTAATAATAATAATAAAAGTGTGGAATAAAAAGTGGCAAAGCCTTTAACGTTGCAGCACCACCAACGTTTTTGAACGAGCTTGTTTCCTCCCTTAACGTCATAGATCTTCCTTTGAAAAATATATTCTGAGGTCGATGACTGGTGCTGAATACAGCCACATTAGCAAATGCGATTTGTAGATTTGATTCTTAGAAATGTATCGTGCATTTTTTATGTACAATTTGTGTGTTGTCTTGGTGTGGTCTGGGACTGTTCTTGCTGTTGTTTCACTGCCTTGGGAATTGATGTACTCACGCAAATTGAACTTGTATGGTTGAGATGTTAACTACCTCGCCTGGTACACAGGAGGTCGTGGGTTAGATCCCGACCCCGACGCCTGCTGCTGCTGTATATTTGGAGTTTGCGTGTCTCTCATCATCATCACGGTGGCTATGAGATGTTAACTACCTTGCCTGGTACACAGGAGGTCGTGGGTTAGATCCCGACCCTGATACCTGCTGCTGTATATTTGGAGTTTGTGTGTGTCTCTCTCATCATCATCACGATGGCTGGGAGATGTTAACTACCTCGCCTGGTACACAGGAGGTCGTGCGTTAGAACCCGACCCCTACTGCTGCTCTATATTTGGAGTTTGTGTGTCTCCCCGTGGTCGCGTGGATTTTGTGAGATTATTTTGCTGCAATACATTTCCACGTAAGCCACTTTGATGATCTATAATTTGTGGCCAGATCGCTTCTGAAAAATAGGTTTATAGTTCAATAGTAAGATATTTGTTTACGTTTCCTATGCAGTATTTTGCACGATTTGTGTTTCTGTAGTTTGTTGTTGTAAACGTTTGACCCGCCAACTACTGGACATCTGTGGAAAAGAGATTTATAGCTGATTGGATTTCTCCTGCACTATAAATAGATTCTGAGTGACGTTTGTTTAAATCAAAACAGCAGCACCGCGGCCTAGCAGCACGAGGCCTGCGGCAAGCACGCCCTCGCCTGGAACCACTGCCGCCTCCCACGCGTATAGCACCGGCCGCACTCGTTAGGTCCCCCCCCACTCCCGCCCCCTCTCAAACGCATCAAAATAAATCACAGTGGCACATTTAACAGAAACAAAACTGCGCGACTTTGCACTTCTAATTAGCTTCGGGTAACGGTTGCTATACCTACACGTACAGTACATCACTGTCCTGTCAATATACTGGAGCGCTTTCGAGAGGACGAGCACATTGGGTGAGCGGGGAGGAGACGGAGTGACATCGCGGGATCGTTGAGGAGGGTGACGGCTCTCATCCAGCAGTCGAACGACCATGGCCGTGGCACCAAACGTCAGAAGGTGGCCGTGGTTATAAACACCAGAAGCGCGGGTCACTCACCGCACAAGACGGGGAAGGCAACTCGGCCTCTGCAGCAGCAGCAGCTATCGCTGTTTATTAAACCCTCTCCTCCTCTCGCTCTCTCTCTCTCTCTTGGCTGTCGCTGACGAAATTAAGTTGTAGTTTATTAATTTGCAGGAAACCGCGAACGCGATTTGAAGATCCGTAAATTAAAACGCGCGAGGCACGCGCGGCCCCAACGGACGCCGCGGCCTCCGTAGCGACGTCACGCGGGAAGTGGAGTCACTTCCGGGATGCGCGGTGACGTCAACCCCTAGACGCCACGTGCGAATTGGTCCAAACAATATCGGTTCATAATGTTGATCTGTCATTCATGTTATCGATCGTTATGAAAATTAAGCATATTTGGTATTCACACACTATTCTTAAAGCGCAAGGCTATGATCACGAAAGGAGGCGCTTGCAGTGTCTTCACTGACGCAGCTCACGGGAGGGTTCAAGAAGCTTTGGTGTTTGCTGTCATCCCTAAAACATTGTCGCTGTGATCGTTTTCTAATTTGACGCCGGCACACAATGGCCTGCTTTGTGATGACCTCGCTAGATCTTGAGCATCCACCGTAAAGCAGACGGCGCGTATGCGCATGGTACGTGGTTTTGTAAGCAAGCGCAGTGTTAACTCGGGCGGCCGGTCGGAATGGAGCCGCGAACGTCTGCAACAAGCGGCGAACTTCCCTAACTCAAACCGGGCAAAGCTCGCTGACCATAAAAAAATAAAATTAATTTGCAAATAATATGGGAGTAACTGACGTAATACCAGGCACTGCAATATAATAATTTCATAGAAAATAACTCCATGAAATGAAAGTTATTTAAAAGTACTGTATACCAAATAAAGATGCAACAACACAATAAAAACTGCAGTCACCGTGCTGAGCACACTTCAGCCCCAATTTTACTCTAGGCCCACAGCTTCATATATCAGTCGCAACTGATAACTGGCCACGCCGTGATTCCTCAACCGAGCGAATCAATTAAAACTTGGTCGATCAACAACCCCTTGACATTGAACGATGTCTGTCTTTGATTTTATAAATGCGGCCCGTCAGAGACAGGCCTACTCGACAAATAATAAAAAGCTTATAACCAGTGACGAATGAATGCCGCGCAGAGCTTATATAGGAATCCCAATAACCTTTACGCCATGGGGCCCGTTTAAAGTGTGTTTTTTTTATATATTATTAATTGAATGCCAAATCAATAAAAATGTTAAACAATTTTAAACAAAACTATTCAGGGTTTTATTATATGAACAAAAAACATGGACTTGCTTTCATTTTAAATCGTACCGTTTCTAACCTCTTCTTTACAGCATATGATAATGTACCGCGAAAGCTGCCATTCCCATTGGTCGCAGCTGTAAATGGGCGGGGTTTCCTACGTCACGTGCTTGATGTTCTAATGAGAGGCGAGGGGGATTTTAACTCTCGCGTCTTTTGCAATGCAGAGTTACTACAAGTTCATAGTTCAGAGTTCTATTGATTTGGTATAGCCCTGTGAGCCATTCGACTCTTGAATCGGGTGCAACCACAACAAACAAAAAAACAAAAACATGAACAAGAAAAACATCTTAAGGTGACTATGTGACTGTGCAAACAGAAAATCCATGGAAAAAAAACATCAAAATATTCCTGAAATAGCACCGTACACCAACGCTGTGTGCAAAAATCCCAGTGGGATACAAGTCAAACAACAACAACAAGAAAACTTAGATTAAGGCCATCAGTCTAACTCCGTACTACAATAAACAAAAACATGGCCAAACCAAAAAACTTTTAGAAATCACCAAAATAAAGCCATAAAAGCAATGTAACAGTGATCATAGGAACTGTGACCGAATTTTTAACAATAAACTACATAAATAACATGTAACACCAAACCCTAGAGCCATAGCCGGCTGCATGAGTCACTCCACAAACAACAGGAGCATCAGTCGGAGTATCACATTTTTCAATGCACCTTTAAGATCAGCACACTGAATCAAAATACACATCATACTTTGCAGCAGTCATCCGGAGCGAAACATTTTATTTTATTTTAGGCCACTGAATAGCAGTGGCAGCTAGGGGTGTACAACTCCTCTAGAGCAGTTCTGAGTGAAGATCTCATAGGTATAGTAATAGGTTTTACCCTTTTAACTGGCACAAAAAGGAGGTCTCATAATGTAAATCTCATAGATAGTGATTCAAGTTGCAGTTTATTGGCAATTCACGACGTCTGACCAACAGAAAAACAATCTGGTAATCTGAAATGGTCCCTACGGGGGAACCAATAAACGAGCGTACGTTCAAACAATTTGATTCAGGATGAAAATATTGTATTTATACTGCAGGAAGAATCCGATGAGCTATGAAGCTCTTTTTTCACAGATGTCCGGTAGGGGCGCGGGGTAAGAACGTTACAACAACAACAAACAAACACAAACACGACATGATTGTAAAGTGCAAGAAAGGTAAACAAATCACCAAAAACATACAAATTATAATAACCATAGCGGCCGTCTATAAATGACGTCACGAACCTAGGGGGGGCGGGGTCAGACAATTGTGACGATGTGTGATGACGGGGGGGGGGGGTTTGAGAAATGTGACGTCATATCAAAATGCGCAACTTTAAATAAATATAGACAACACGTTCTACTTAATTAAATAGACTTTTTAATAAATGTTTGCTCTTACAACATCAAAGTACAGCGCCACATTAAATACGCACTACAATGACAATAGTTGAAAGCGATTTGAAGCATGTTTTATTTTTTTTGGGGGGGGGGACAGAGCTTTGTGACGTCATTTTTGAAGGGGGGCTCTGACTTTTTGCGACGCCGTGTGACGACGGGGGGGGGGGTCAAAATCATCCAAAATCGCGTGACGTCATTTATTGACGGCCCCATACGTGTGAACAAACAAAAGTGAATGAATAACACAAATGCACAACACATTAAAGAGACGTTGATCTAGAACTAAAAAAAAATATTGCTGAGCAGTTGAGATGGCACGGTTAGTAATTCGCATGCCCGTGTACTTATACAACACTGAGGACCCGAGTTCGACCCCAGGCTACGGCTTAACATCATTGACAACTGCTAAGTGGAGGAGTGATTGCCTGAACACTGTCCCGATTTAAAGTAATCTTGGTCGCACAACAACAACCCCCTTTGCATTCAAGGAGGTAAAAAAAACTTCTGACTTTGGGTTTTGTGAATGCGGTCCATCAGAGACAGACCTACTCGACAAATAATTCTAAAGTTATAACCAGTAATGAGTGAATGGCCGCACAGAGCTTAGATAGGACTCGATACTACCTCTACGCTAAGGGACCGGGGTATCTTCTTTGATTGAGGGCAACATCACTTTAAACGTCAACATTTCACATTGTCCCCATGGAACTATTAAAATCTTTTGAAATGTTAATTACGGGGACAAATAAAAGTAACTGTTCGATCAATTATTTCATACACATTACAAAATGAAAGTGGTGGAATATAACAATTATACATGAAATAACATTACTATATATAATTATTGCTAAGCTGTTGACATGGCACAGTGATTTGCATCCCGTACTTATATACACCTGGCAACACAGGTAAGAGTGCTTTAAAAACGGCAGAAGAAGCAAAATATTAACACAACAGCATTTGCAAATGTGATTTGTTAATGTCATCCTCACCCACGTAGTATCGAAAATGTTAATGTGCAATTTTATTGAGGGGCTGTGTGGTGTCTTGGTAAGATCTGGAACTGTTTTTGCTCAAGCTTAGGAATTGGTGTAATTATTATTTTTTAACTTAAAGACTGTTTATCTATTTCATGTATTCATGTTTAATGATCTTGTTACTTTTGTTGTACTTTACACTCCTATCGGTGTTTTTATATTGTTTGTTGTAGCTTTATGACCCGCCCCCACTGGACAACTGTGGGAAAGACAATCTCATCGGATTTCTCCAGGAGAAATAAATATTCTGATTCTGAAGTTGTATCTGGGCCTGTCAATGACCTCCCTTCGTGCTTGGTAATTTAAAAAACAAATGCATTACAACATTTACTTACATTGAATTTGTTTTTACGATTGTGTCAAACATTGAGCAAGTAAAATAAAATAGGGTGGAGCCAAGCCGCGCCTCCCTTCTCGAACCCACCAGAGCGTTCCAGGGGCCTCCCAATGAGGTCTACCGTGACCCTTGCCCCAGTTCCTCCGCCCTGCCGGCACACACACACCGTGTACATGCTCAACGGCGAGTGCGCTAAGTGTCCACCTGCAGTTGCAGCTGCTATACAGCAGTTAGCACTGTCTCACTACAGAAGTATTAAAATCTGGTGACCAATAAAAATGTAATGAGCGCTTCCGCGACACGTCGTGTAGAGGGTACTCTTCTTTATTCCACGTACGGGCACAGCACAGGCCAAAGTTATCGGCTTCCTCTCCAAGTACACACTTAGATATTAACGTTCTACAAACTACAACAACAACAACAACAACCGCCATTCGCCACTAAGTGGCGGTGACGTCACCACGACGCTTGTGCCAGGCTATGTGCACCCTGAGGCCACGTGAAGTGTCGAACGCCCGCTGGCAGGAGGTCACGGGGCAGACCCAGGTGCCACGGGTCGACTGACTGAGATGACTGGCTGATGCACCACCTGTGCCCCCTACTGTGCCAACCTGCTGTGCTTTAGCCACCCGGCGCTCCGCTCGCTGTTGTGAGCGTCGCTCCTCCGCCCTCCGTTGTTGTTGGAGGGCGACTGCCTCCAACTGCCCAGTAGCATCCTTCACGAGCCTCCTCCACAGAGGCCGATCTTGACACCGCTGGTACCAGTCATCGGCAAGTCCACTCAGCTCCACGTCCTCCTGTACCACATCACTCCATCTCTTTTCTAGCCCGTGCCGCGCCCGCTTAGCCCCCTCAATCCGGCCAAACAAAAGCTGTTTCGGCATGCGGTGGCTGGGCATGCGGGCTACATGACCCAGCCATCGCAGCCTTGCCTGCCGGAGGAGCTCACCGATGGGACCCTGCCCAGATCTTTCAAGGATTTGTGAGCTCCTCACACAATCCAGTCTGGTTAAACCCAGGATGGATCGTAGGCAGGTCAGCCTAAATGTTTCTAACCGGCGAAGATGTTCCATTAGGGGGGTCCACGTTTCGCAAGCGTAGAGAAGGGAGGGAATGACCGTGGCCGAGAAGACCTGAAGCTTAGTGCGGAGCGACAGACCAGGTAGCTTCCACACAGCGTTACGCAACCGATGAAAAGATATTGCCGCTCGACTGATTCGGAGTGAGACCTCTGCTGTTAAACTGGAGCCAGTCATAAGCACACTGCCCAGGTATGGGAAACTCTCCACTCTCTCCACAACTGCCCCATCACCGATTGGGAGTTGTGGGGGTGGAGTGTCCGATGGTACAAAACACCCAGGCAGGTGCTTAGTTTTGGTGGGGCTGATGGTAAGGCCCCACCTCTTAGTGGCACGCTCCAGTCTCAGCAGCAGCGTCTCCAACTCCTCCTCTGACTGAGCAGCTATTACCAAGTCATCAGCATACATAACGTGGTTGAGCAATAGGGAGCCATCCCTTGACCGCACCCGGGCATCGATTAGCCTCCCATTATATCTGTACCATATGGAGATTCCCCCGGTACAGCAATTGAAGGCTTCACGAACTACGTGGTCAAAATAGATGTTAAATAATGTGGGAGCCAGAGGACATCCCTGTCGCACCCCAAGGTGTACAGGGAATGGCTCTGACTCCCGGCCACGTAGTTTTACCCGGGCCCGCTCACCATCATGAAGGTCCTTAATGATCGTGAGCAGAGGGTCAGGTACTCCAAAAGCACGAAGAACGACCCAGAGCCCAGGCCTACTGATGGTATCATAGGCCTTGACCAGGTCAATAAAGCAGAGATGTAGGTCTTGTTGGAATTCCCTACACCTCTGCTGTAGGAGACGGACAGAAAATATGGCATCTGTGCAGGACCGCCCTTTCCTGAAACCGCATTGGGGCTCCGCAAGCCTCTCCTCAGCGTGCCTGGCAAGGCGATGCTGAATAATCCTTGCCAGGACCTTTCCCGGCACACTGAGGAGTGAGATGCCCCTGTAGTTGTTACAGTCTGTGCGGTCCCCCTTCTTAAAAAGGGGGACCACCAGGGCATCCTTCCAATCCTGCGGAACCCGTCCAGTGGTCCAGACTGTTGTTATGATGTCATATAG